ACACAGGGATTCTCGAATTTCTACCCTGATTTAATGCCCTGGTTATACCCTGATGTCATACTCTTATTATACCCTGATTTAATGCTCTGATTATACCTTGATTTAATACCCATTAATTTATATCCTGATTTAATGTCCTGATTTAATAACCCGATTTAATATCCTGATTTAATATCCTTATTTATTTTTATTTATATATCAAATTTGTCACCGCCCATCTTGTTGAACGACTGGGTGGTTTACAAAACAATATCCTGATTTCATACCCTGATTATACCCTGATTTAATACCCTGATTTCATACTCTGATTATACCCTGATTTAATAACCTGATTTCATGCTGTGATTAGACCCTGATCATACCCTGATTTAATATCCTGATTTCATACTGTGATTATACCCTGATTATACCCTGATTTCATACCCTGATTTCATACTCTGATTATACCGTGATTTAATATCCTGATTCCATGCTCTGATTATACCCTGTTTATACCCTGATTTAATATCCTGATTTCATACTCTGATTATACCTGATTTAATAACCTGATTTCATACTGTGATTATACCCTCATTATACCCTGATTTATTACTCGTCATTTTCATATGACTCTGCTTTGATAGAATCCTAGCGTTGGAAGGGACTTTGGCGGCCTTCTAGTCCAACCCCCTGCCCTTGCACCATCCCAGGGATCCTCACACCATCCCAGGCAAATGACTGTCTAACCTTTTCTTGAAAACCTCCGGTGAAGGAGCCCCCACAACTTCCCTATTCGTCAGATCCAGCATCGCTGCGGCATTTCATTCCTTTGTTAATTTTTCACATATCTATCCCCCTGCAATCCAAAGACTCTCAGCGGCTTGCGTAGGTTATAAAACTGATAAGACATCCGTGGTATAAAACTCCATAAAAATGATTAAAAAAACACCCGCCAAACATAAAAATACCAACAATATAAAATAGACATTAAAGATGGTGTGATAAAATTTGGGGAAAAGCTTCTCCGTCTTGAAAAGCAATTGAAATGTCAGCAAGGGGGGGCCCACCTGATCTCACCCGGGAGGCTGTTGCCCCACTTCAGGGGTGCCCCTGAAAAGCAGGCCTTCTCATGTCAGCCCTCCGAACCTCATGAAAATGTGAGATCGATAACACTTTCTCCCTATTATATATCTAATTATGTCTATTTGGGCTACCTTTTCATTTAGAAGTGGCAGACAAATCTGAGACCAAGGATCCCACCTTTTATACTGCCGAATCAGGCTATTTGTCCAGTTAATCCAAAGGGACTTGCTACGACAAACAGCAGCTCTCCCAAATTTCCAAGAGAGAAAATACGTTTTCCATTTTTTTGCTCCCTTATTCTTTTTGAAACAAGAACTGCCATCTGGACGTCTGGACTCAAAATGTGTTCTTTACCACCGAAAACTGAAACCTTCAGTGATGTTCCTCTCGGTGAGCACGTTTAGTTTTTGACTTAATAACAAGCCCATTAAAAAAAAAAAAATGCAGTTTTCCATTTTTAGAAAGGGAACTACCTTATTCCACACTACGTGGAGCTATATTCTGTTTTGAGATGCTTGAATGTGAAAAAGAGCAGAGTTTTTTGGATTGTAGAGTGGGAAATGCGTCTTGAGCCGTGTAAGGCAGTTCATACTGTAGCGTCAAACATGCAGAAGATCAGACTGTAGGAGGGGTTAAGGCTGGGTTGTTAATCTCATAACTGTGCTTTTAATTTGCACACTTCATTGGCCCCCTCTGACAATTTGCATGCTTAATTGGGTTCCCAAGGCTTGGGATATGTAAATGGGTTCTAATGTCTAGTAAAATAATTTAGTAGGAAATAAACCTTCATCAGCATCGCTTCAGATTGACACTGCTTCTCTGAGGATGGATGTCTTAAGGCAGGGATGACAAGCCTGCCATTCTCCAGATATGAATAGACTACAACTCCCACTAGCCTGGTCAATCATAAGGGAGGCTGGGAGATGTAGTTCAACCATAACTGGAGGGCTACAGACTCCCCACTCCTGATTTAAGTCATGTAAACTGGATTATATTTTGACATACTTTCATAATTCTATCTCGATTTATTTGAAAATAAATTTAAATACAGGGAATAAATTTAAGTACAGGGAAATTCTCTCCTCCGTTTCATGCTTGTGTGTCTGCAAATTTCTTGGAAAGCTGCCTCACCTCTGAGTAAAAGTGTGCATAATGTTGTCTTGCACAGAGTATCAATATCTTTTTGTTTTGAAAAAAAGCATGCCAGCTTCGGTTTTCTATAATAAGTGAATTGTTCGGAGTCATACAAGATTTATTCAAACTGGAAAAGAACATGGATTATATTCTCCTTCTTTGTTAATCTACAAGTGATTCTGCTTAAATCAGTGTTTTTCAGCCTTGGAAACTTGAAGATGTGTGGACTTCAACTCCCAGAATTCCCCAGCTAATATACTGGGATGTATTCTGGGAGTTGAAGTCCACTCATCTTAAAGTTGGCAAGTTTGGAAAACACTGGCTTAGATCCATCCAGAATTATTACAGTAAAGCATCAAAGCATTACTTTGACTCTGTTTGCACCTGCATTGTGGGAATCCAGCCACAATGAATGTAGTTCATTCCAAAATAAAACTAACTAAATCAAACTATAGTTTGCTTAACTATAGCCTGGCATGTTATGGATGCAGGTCAGACATTGAGGGGTGCCCTAGGAAGTAGGCATAGGTGAAATAAAAATTAAAAAGGGGGGAGCTAAAGATGATCTAGGCAAAAAAACCCACTAACCCATAAATTTAGGATTAATGCTGAGGGAATGGGTGGCATACAAATTTAATAATAAATAAAAATAAAAAAATAACTTGGCTGAGGATGAACCTTGTCAATTAATGTCGAAAGGCTGGAAAAACGACAGGGAGCTGAAAAAGAAGAGTGCTTTAAATTAACCTACCTTTTATTTCCAAATGTCTTTTGAATGTTATTTCAGAATAGCACCCTGCAGCTTATTTGGGGGGGATCGGGGGGCTAGAATTTCAACTCACCGTTGGCTAGGTTGACACTGCTCTGGGCAGCGTGTACAGGGAAAGCAGCAAGATCAGTTTCTCAGCTATAATTACCAGCTTGGCACAACTTCTTAAACACCCTTCCTAAAATTAGCTGTTGGTCACACTGCCAACAGACAAAGGGAAACTAAGCCCATCAGGGAACAGGCAATTGTATCTCTCTTCTTTCAAAAAATTATTTCACAACAGGACAGATGAACTGGGGGTTGCTCTATGATCTTCTATTACAGTGTTTCTCAACCTTGGCTGCTTTAAGATGGGTGGACTTCAACTCCCA